CGTGCCAGTCGAACTACAGTTGGAGCTCATTGATTTGCAAGCAAATGACTTGTTGCAAAAGAAGCACAGGGAAGAAAAACTTGTTGAATTTTATCGCTGCTTATCTGATGATGAGTTTTCAAAGTTGAAGAAATTTGCCTCTGGTATGGCATCAGTGTTTGGAACAACTTATGTCTGTGAGCAAACATTTTCAAAGATGAAGTATGTGAAGTCAGCACATCGAACGAGGTTGACTGATAAACATTTGAAAACAATTCTCTTGGTTGGATGCAGCAATTCCAAAGCAAATATTAATGATATCTCAAAAGCTAAACGCCAGTTTCACAAGTCTCACTAGCCTTTTTTGCTGCTTAGTTTGTGAGATTCGGATATGTGCGCACTGGGTGTGATATAACTATCTTATTGCTAACGTCGCCTTCTTTGATGACTTTTTGGTAAATAAATATGTTTGTTGTCTTTATTTTTTGTGTATTCACTGTACTGTATTGAACAAAATGGTTATGCGGCCCACGCTCGTCATTCTCTCAGTTATCTGGCCCGCTGTGAAAAAAGTATGGTGACCCTTGGTCTAACCCAACTGATGAGTTCTGGTATTGAAGGAAAAGTCTCTTAGACAGTGATTTTTGGGAGACGAAAGGTAGCTCTAAAGTGTTATTTTTACACACCTCTGGTTTTAATTCGAAATTGAAAAATCGAGAAAAACAGCTTCTAACAAATATTTCAAGAAGGAGAAATGTAAGTGTATAATTCTTGCAGTTTTCCTCTGCCCTCTCTATCGACAGAAGTCGCGAAAACCGCGGAGAAGATGGCTTGATAGAGTTGAAGAGCCAGATCTGGAACTGTGCAATATGTGTTGCCATTAATATTTCATGTGTAGGACTAGGATGGCACAGGATGGGGTATGGGTTTTATTTGCTAGTGTGAATGTGGCTTCAAGGGTATCAGAAAGCTTCGTTTTAGAATAAACCCATGAAACACATCTCCCTGACTCAAAGACTAGATGTTACAAAAACTGAGTACGTAATTACAGTGGCGTTATTTCAACAAAATTATTTTGAGGGGGGGCAACGTTGAACCATAATTTCTACAAAATACATGAACTTTTGAACACAGCACGTGTCGAAGTTCATACGTCAACTAGCTAGAGAGTTAGGAAGAAAACAACAACAACAAAAACCATTGAAATTTCGACTTTCTACTTTTTATATGTATACTAATATTCGTAACTTCCCCTATATATAGCCAATTAACCAGATGTTTTATATTGCGCAAATATTGAATATAATAAGACATTTCCTAGTGAGCTAGTAAGTATTAAAATACATGACATACAGTAAACAAGGCCCATAGTGGATTCGAAAATTATTTTT